TATATATTTAAAATAATTAAAATTATATCAATTAGCTTATATATATAAAGATATTTTTGTTTCTTTTTAAAAATATTTTGTTTCAATATATGCTTCATATATTATTTAAAAATCAATTTTTTTTAATCAATAAGTATTGTTTATTATCTTTAGAGAAATATACAGATCTTTGAATATGCTTAATTAGTTGAAGAAAAACAAAATTTTAATCATTTATTATATACTGAGTTGTTTATTGTGTTTTAAAAATAGATTATTTCTTTTATAGGAATGTATATTATGATATTAACTAGTAAAATAATAGTTGCTTAAAATTAAAACAATCCTTCGAATACAAAATGATATAAATTATATTGATTAATAATGATTTGTACAATTGTCATTATTAAAGATTTTTATTTTTATTGTTATATTTTTTTATAAAATATTTAAATAGGTTACTATTTCAATATCTTCTACTTGATTTTCGGTTGATAATCACTCAAATTTAAATTGGTCTAAAATTAGTTAGATTTTGTTACGAAAAAACAGGATTTATTCAAAAGATTTTGAAAGGATGAGTGGTTGTTTTTCTCTATATTTGTGGTTTGTTAGGTTTTTCTATATATTTGTGGTTCGTTAGATTTTTCTCTATACACCAACAACCATCTCTATAAGAGCAACTTTAGCGCAGGGTTGTTAAACAAAAATTTTGTATAGCTTACGTTAGTAATAAAGAATTTGCATTATAGTAGAGCTGACATGTCATTTAATGAACTAAAGTTTAGTTTCTATTATCTATACAGTTAACGTTAACTATTCAAGGTAAAACATATTATAATATTATTTAATATTAATAAAATATTATCTTCTATAAATTCTATAGAAACTTTAATTTCATATTTTAGCACCCTTAAACTAAACTGCTAAAACTAAACTTAACAAATTCAAATTTAAATAACACAAAAATTAATCAATCAACCTATACATTCCCACTTAAAACCAAAATCATGTTTATAACCAATGTTATATGTTTTTTCTAAACAACACAAATTTAACGTGTTTGATTTTTTTAAAGTAACTTTTGATTTTAAATCACTTTTACATGAATGTATCCAAACATAAACACATTTTACTAAACTTAAATCTATTAAAATCAATTCTACTAAATTTAATTTTATCAAAATCAATTATGTACACGCCAATTCAAACACAAAATAAATCAACCATGAACAAACAAACTAATACTAACATGAATTTTTAAAACTTTGGTTTAAAAACATAAAACTTTAAACGACATGCATATACTTGAAAGTACCTTAACTTATAACTTAAAGAATCTTTAAATGAAAGTGAACTTTAAAAGTGAAAAAATACGCAAATAAACATAAAAATTTCAACTTCAAGGTTTGAGGGTGGTTTTATATAAACAAAAATAAAGTTCAATATGACATTTGATTTATAGCTGTGGAAGATGAGACATTTGGTTCAATATATCTACCACCAAATTGAGTCTTTTATGTTGTTTTCACAATTATAGGATTTATTGAAGAAAAATCATGAGATTTAGAGTTAAATCATGAGGTTTCTATGATACTCTACGTTGTGTGTATTGAAGAGAAAACATGAGGGTTAAAGTTAAATCACAAGGGTCATATGGTACTCTTCATGAGTTGTGTGTATGGTGGAGAAATCATGAGACTTATAGTTAAATCATACTCTACTTTGTGTGTATTGAAGAGAAAACATGAGGATTAAAGTTAAATCATGAGGGTCATATGGATACTCTCTATGAAAATGTAATTTTTTTTTATGTATTATTGTTGTGAATTTTGTATCATTTTTAATTTTATAATAAAATATATTTAATATTATTTCTAAGTTTTTAAGGCAAATTTTATTTAAAAATTTGTATGCATTTTAATTAAAATAATTAAATTAATGGTAACTTCAATAAAAAATATAAAATATGGGAAGTTTTGGTTTCTTATAGACAACCATTATTAAAGTAAAAACTATTCAAATCAACTATGAATTTTTTAAGTCCTACAAAACACTTTGGGCCCACAAAAAATATCTTAGTTTACCCATTTAGTTTACTCCTATTAAAGATGCTCTAAGGTATTTATAAATGTTGAAATTGGTAAACTCAAAGTTATATCAACATGACACACCCACAAACCTTCTTATGTGAGGATCTCCTCATTGAAATATTCTCACAGCTTCCACTCATATCTCTTGTTCGATTCCAATGTTTATCCAAGTCTTTGAAATTCTTAATTTCTAATCCAACTTTTGTGAAATTACATCTTCTAAATTCAGAAAAGAGTACCAACATATTATACAATTTCACACCTTGCTGTAATAGAACTCTGACTTTAATGAACTCATTATCCACAATTGTTGAGGATTTTAATTTTGGTTCTAGTTTGAAATTAGACTACAATTTTGAAGCTGTTGGTTCATGTAACGGATTGGTTTGCTTGATAGCTCAAGATTTTTTCAAGTTTACAAAATATCTAGTTTGTTTATGGAATCCTATGGCCGTGTCAAAATCCTATAAACCCCGTCTTTTACTCCATTCTCATACATATTCTTGTCATACTATGTTTGGATTTGGTTATGATAGTCTACACGATAGTTGTCCATTTCAAGAGATCTGAATTACGTCGAGGTTCAATAGAATCCGAGGTAATTATTTATAATAACACTGACAATTGTTGGAGAAATATTAAAAGTTTTCCTGGTTTTACCACTTTAACACAAACTAATGGAATATATTTGAATGATACTATTAATTGGTTTGCAACTTCTGACCTTGATCATTACTGGGAGAATCCTATTTATATTGTTTCACTTCATCTTGGTAATGAAACATATAAACAAATGTCACTGCCTTCTTGTTTTGATCAAATCCATCGTGTCAATAATCGAGCTAAGGCGAGTCTTGGGTTTTGAAAGATCATTTGTGTTTCTCTTATGATGATGATATCAAAAGAACTCATTTTGTTTTATGGCAAATGAACGAGTTTGGAGATGAAAATTCATGGACTCAATTGTTGAAACTTAGTTATCATGCTCTTCAAATTGATCAACAAAGTATTTTACCACATCTAGGAACTTTTAAGAATGATCACTTAATCATTATTGAGAGGATATATGGTAAACTCCAAGCAACAATTTTATATGGACAAGAAGGAAATATTGAAATTCCCAGAAATAAACTTTGTATTTATACTAAGAATTATCTACCAAGCTTAGTTGCACCATGGTAAAACATTTTTTTTATTATGTTAGACTTGGAAGTGAATTTTTGGACTTATTATTATTTTTTAGGATAAATTATGATGTAAGATTTCTTATTTAGTTTAATTTCTTTTTTATATATTTTATTTTCTAAAATCTAAGTGGAGTGAACAACTCATCTGATATGACCTGTTGATTCAGGGTTCATATCCCAGGCAACAACATAGTTTCATATCATCTCTCTTTTAAAATATTTATTTGGCAAACATTTATCACAGTAGCTACAAAATATTTCATAAAAAGGATAATGTGATTGATAAAAAAAGTAAAATAACAGTTACATAACCAAACAAATTTGAAGATGTTATTCTGAAGCATTACAAGTGTAAATAATTTTAACATGAAAATTTGATTATAGTTTCTTCATTTTTTAGAACTCTGGAAAAATTGTAATTTGTGTCTAGGGCTGGACATCGGTCGGTTTGGATTGGATTCGGGCCCAATATGTCAAACCAGCCAAAACCATGGGTAGATTTGGTAGGTCCAATTCTGACTGAAATTTTAATCGGTTTGATCAGATTGATTTAATCGGTTAATCGGTTAAAATGGATCGGTTTATTCGGTTAACCATAAATAAGTTGACACATAATTATAGAAGTTTTAACTGACAATATACATTTAAACTTATGACCCTTAAAATGAAATTCAAGGTTTAACTAATTATGTGTCAAGTGCGGAAGTCTGTAACAATCCCTAATTATGATCCTTAGCAGCAAACCATAAGCGGAAGTTTTAACTAATTATGAAATTCAAGTTATAAAAGTTCATATTATACCATGATAAATGAATTCAAGTTATTATGATCCTTAAAATTTAAAACTAGTTATTATGATCCTTAAAACTAGTTAACATGATAAAGTTAGTCATCTTGGACTGTTACAGACCTCCAAAACTAAACACAAACTTCATATTATACCATCAAGTTACAAGTGAATTCAAAAACAACAATATACATTTAGCAGCAGTATGATACTCATAAAAATACACAACAATCAAGCTATCATGCTATATATTGCAACCATCTCAACTGCTCTCTTGATTCACTCCTTGCAACTGCTCTCAAGATTATGATAAGTAACAATCTACAAAACATCCAAGCAATTGTCTGTAATTGTTGGTGCTAAGTCTTAAAAGCTATAGAATAAATTTTGTAAAAAGTTTTAACACTTTCTGCTCTGCTTGGATAAGTAACTAATACAATATTAAATACTTACATCATAAGTGTCTACAAGGGCAAGAAAGTTATCAGGAAATGCCAATGCATATGATATGAATGCTGCCAGCTCACTTTGATTGGTATCAGAAAAATGCCACACAATGAATTTGACCACTGCATAGTGAAAACACAACACAGATTATACACTGACAAATCCGTGTTTGATCTTGTTAGAGTGCAAAACATAAATATATGCAATAAGAATGGTAACAATTCGATAGAACATTAATATTGGCGCTGGTAAGCGGTGATACAATTAACTGCTACCAGAATGTAATGGTATAACAAGAGCCTACATAGCCTTGAGGAAAATATTGGACCACCAAGAGTGGTCCATATTCATTTGTAGTGGTTCATTTCACAGTCAAACAAAAGTGAAACAATGGATAACTAGCTACAAGATGAACATTTAAAAAGAAATGATGAAAATTTAGAGGAACCATTGGATAACTAGCTACAAGATGAACACAGAAACAAAGGAACCAATGGATAACTAGCTTTATAGAATGTTTTCAAAAATATCACAAAAGGCGTATTTCGAAGGAATCTAATTGAAGTAAGAACACAACATCGTCAATACCTTACATCAAATTAGTATCACAATAGTGTTGTTTTTCATCAGACCAACTTAATAATCAAAACTCTTAAGTTTTATAAAACATGGTAGTTGGAAATACCAGTGATTATGTCACTATAGAAAAGAAGAATAACAACAATATGATAAACACTGCTCACCTCTGTGAATTCAACACAACCTCCAAAAGTCATGAATGCACACGGCATGCCAACTTTCAAGTCATTGACCGAGTCCCCAACTGCTGCATTGATTCCCACAGCCTAAAATATAAATGAAATTCAGCACACATATGAGTATAGGCATTCTGCATCAAGTGATCAGCTTCATAAAAGAAATCTATGTCTGGGGATACATCATACCTCAAATCCTGCATTAAATAGAAGACGGGCAGCAATATTATTGTTATTGCCACCAAAATAGCGGCCTGAGCTAAAATTTACCTATCAATACAAATTCTTGTCAGAATTGTAGCTAGAAAATAAATTCACACACAAATATTCTAGAAATATGTAAAAACTTACGTCACTAACATTTACACCAGCATAAATTATCTTAACAAGAACAAAGTTTGATTTGATAGGTAATCTCAGTGGTGCTCTCACTAAGCCGGTAGCATTCCGAAAGTTGTGAGTCAAGGTATGAACAACTCTGCAAACAGTAAGCAGTAATATGAAACAACTAAATAACTCATCTTTAAATGAACAAAACCATGAGAACACACAGTCAATTTGAATATGTAATTCCACCTTTTCTAACACTATGGAAAAAGAAAATAAACACCGTCTAGAGGCATACAGGTATATGTGTGTCATAACAAGATAACTAGAGTTGAAATGCACACATTTTCTCAAAACTCTCGGGTAGTTTAATTGATGGAGCTTTGTATTCAGTTCTTCTCCTGAGACGATTAGAACGAATTGTGTACTTTGCTTCTTCTGATGGGGTTGGCCAATACTCCAGACCTCGACGATTAGTAATCCATAGGCAATCACCGGCTTTACTCTCATCCGTGATGAGCTCAAAAGCACCTTGAGAGGTTAAAATATTTTCACATCAAAATTTATGTATACATGATAAGAAATATAGACCAATCACTAAATTACTAACACAGGTAAATTCATCTGTCAAACAAAACTAAGGGACATTCTCATAATATGTATTTTTAACTTTGTAAATGTTCTCATAATGTTCATGTCTGCTTTAAATGATACTCCAATGCGTGTAATATGATACAATACAAACACATTACTCATCTTTATTGTGAATTAAGAGTCTACAAAGTACAAATACTCATGCTCTTTTTGCCAAGGCACACCAAATAACAAAATGATATGCAGACTAACCTTTCACCACCATTTCCATAGGTACAAAGCCCCCCATCATATTAAGGAATTTGGGATCCACCTTTAAGCCCATCTCAGTTTCAACAAACTGCACTAAACATTAATATTTCAAGGATTAATTATAGTAAACTGTAATGTAGAGTAGAATTTATTTTGAAAATATAAAAAATTTCAAGTCCAAAAACAACTCTTACCTCAGGGTTTTCAATCCTTATCAAACGGTACAGGGTTTTCAATCCCCGCACTGACAATACAAATGTCTAGTCCTCCATACGTCGAAACGTGCTTCTCAAATGCAGCAGCCAGATCCCCTGTTGACAGCTCTCTCGGTTAATAACTACATCAGTATAACAAACTAGCAATTGTTTGCGACTACATTCACAATAAGTCACTTACTCGAGTTGGTCACATCGCATTTCACAAAAATAACAGATGGATGTTGTATCTTAGGATGAAACTTTGTATTAATTTTCTCGATAACGGTTGTGAGTTGTCTTCCTCTTTCTTCAGAGAAATCAACAATTATTATAAATACACCTTGAAACAAGCCATCAACCAACGAACATGATCAAATGTAAAGGAATGAGACCCTATTTGAACCTGATCAATGTAATGCTTTGATCAGATTCTCAGGAACTGATACCATAATGCAAATTATAACTTATAAAGGTCACTCTAACTGTTCCATATATATCAGAGATATGTACAGAAATGCAATTACCAAAATCAATAACTCGGACTGAATCTTAGCGTAGTGTAATTCCATTAAATACAAACCGTAGTGACAGAATCAAAACAAACAGCAGCAAATGCAATTACGAATTCCAATAGAATGACGTAAATATGAAACTTACCCTTTCGAACAAAGATTGAAATAGATAATTTGGCCATAATTTAAGGAAGCAACAAAGATTGAAATAAACCAACATTTCGTGGCAGCACAAATAAACTCATTTCAAGAATACTTGCTCCTTAAAGCTTAAGCGGTTATCAAGAGTACCAAGGAACCATATCCAAAAATTCAGGCTTCATCTGCTTCTTCTTCAAACTGCTGAAGTACAAAAAGAGCACCTCCAATGAAGGCAACTGTAAACACAAAAGAAAACCCATTATGCGGAAAATATTTATACACCCAAATTCAAATCAAAAATTATTATTAACTCAGAAAAAGAAGTGAAAATTACCAAAACAGGTCTGGATTCATCGTCATGAACAACCCCAAAAGAAGTGTAAACTCACAGCATTGTCACTGTATTAAACCAATAGTGGATTCCTTACCCAAAACAATAGTGCCCCAAAAATTATTACATGGATTCCTAAAACTGATTTACTAATTATAATGGCTTTAATATTATGAGTCATTCAAGACTCCAAAAAAATTCAAAAAATGGCTGCAAGTACAAGAGAAAAAATGGTTTAGTATGGCTGCAAGTACAATAGAATGTTTGCTGCATATATATATATATATATATATATATATATATATATATATATATATATATATATATATATATATATATATATATATATATATATATATATATATATATATATATATATATATATATATATATATATATATATATATATATATATATATATATATATATATATATATATATATATATATATATATATCTATATATATCTATATATCTATATATCTATATATATATATATATATATATATATATATATATATATATATATATATATATATATATATATATATATATATATATATATATATATATATATATATAGTGGCTGCATATACAATAGAAAAAATTCAACATATACCTTAAGGTGATTTAAACAGGCCCAGCCTGCCCAGGAGCGGTTGCTCCAACGGTAACACCTACACGAAACACTGCAAGATACCAAAAATATAATGAGGCTAAAGTTATTAAAATAATATTAAAAAAGATAAAGTTTTGTTTCATAAAGTACCTGAAACTATAGAATCAGTCATGTCATATTCTTCAAGCAGATCAAGGACTCTTGAGTCGTTCTCGTTAGAAGGCATCAACCATTTTTGAGAACAAATAAGCGCCTCGCCATTGCCGGACTCAAAGAACTCCGATACATGTCTAAAATTCGCCCCCCAGTACTAAAAGCACTTTCGGATGCTACACTTGAAACAGGTGTTGCCAAAACTTCCCTAACCAAAGTAGCTAATATAGGATAACATGTAGAATTCTCCTTCCACCATTTAAGAATGTTGAAATTTCCAGCATCTCCCCAACAAGGGTCTCCTAAGTACTTCTCTAGTTCATTTTGATTATCAACCGTGTCTTTCTCTTTCAACTGTTGTTTAAAAGCATCAGCCCTTGTAAAAAGTGATGGTTTTCTAGTTTGGGGTACATGTTTCTCCATGGGAAGTGCTCCCGGATGGTGCATCTAAGATGGCAGCCCTGACATTTTTATCATGCTCAAATTTATACCAATTATATAGTGTATATAGACTTTTTTGACACACTCAACATTTTTCTTAGCAAGTTCACTACCAACCCCATACATGTCATTGAAAGACCACTCAACATAATCGAACTTAAACCTAGGGTCAAAGATCACTCCAAAATAGATAAAATGATTCACTTTTTCAACATCTCCCCAATATTTATCATATTTGGTCCTCATATTAGAAACCATTGGAGCCACATAGGTATTCATGTTCAAGGACGCTTCTTGAAACTTACACAAAATATCAGACAAGTTATGAAAGGCTAAATGTAACGACACTTCTTGCGAAGATGAAAACAATTTGGTTGCTTCATAGAATGTTTTCAAAAAAATCACAAAAGCCCTAGCTTTTTCCCAACCAGTAGAACAAGGTGGACCGGAATGTTCAAAAAACTCCATGTAGCTAGGATCCTCATCCTCTAACTTTTCAAATGCTGTTTGGAAATTCTCAGCAGCATCCAACATCAAGTAAGTGGAATTCCATCGTGTGGAAACATCAAGGCCAAGTTTTCTATTATATGTTATCCCTACAATTTCTATACATTCATTAAACTTCAAAGCTCTTTGTGGTGAGGACCTCACAAACCTAACAGCATCGCGAACACTTTCAATAGACAACTCATGATATTTTTGTCCATCTCTCACAACCAAGTTTAAGATATGGGCAACACACCTCATATGCAAAAAACTCCTAACACCAATTAAAGAATTCTTGCTCTTAAGTCTTTTTCCCAAGTAAGAAACAACTACATCATTACATATTGCGTTGTCAAGGGTAATTGTTGACACTTTCCTAAGCCCCCATTCCTTTAAAACATCTTCAACGTTTTTACCAATGGTGTCACCCTTGTGATTTGGAACTAAACTAAAACTAATAATCTTTTTATGATAGATCCATGCATTGTCAATGAAGTGTGCAGTTATAGCCATGTAACTAAGATTTTGAATTGAAGTCCAACAATCTGTGGTTAGTGCAACCCTAGCACAATATGTGGTTATTGAATTGAAGTCCAATAAGATTTAAGAAAGAACATTGTAATTTCTTTCTGCAATTTTATTTCGCCAAAGTAGAATCCTGCCGACATTGTGGAGGACTACTCTTCGATTTCAGTACTACTTTCTAGGTTCTTATTAATTGAATTATTACTTTATTTTATGCCATAATGCATGTTTTATTATTTTGCTATTTATGTTTATTTCAGTTTGCACTAATTATCATGTCTAGCTAAATTAGTTTTACCGGTATGTGTTGCACCCTAATTTTTGACCTTAAACCCCCACCTCCATCGTGCATTTGTTTTTGTATTATCTTTTACTGTTGTACGTATGTTTATTATAACTAACGAGTGTGTGCAGGTATATTAAATTCAAGTGGAGATGACATTCATAATCCAATCGTTCCGGGCATGGCCGTTTGATTCTTATTCAAGTTAATCTTAGGATTTCAATTTGAGTTGTACCACTTTCATAATTATTTCTCGTATTGGGTCGTCCTAGGATCAACGCCGTAAAGCTCTTCATGGTTGCAAGCCTATCATACAAGTTTAAGTCCAAAATGGCAAGGTTATGCTTATGGAGATTTCATCATTCAAGAAGTCAAGGTTCAAGGGCAAGGAGATATTCATGTGGTTTTATCAAATATTGATTCAAAATACAAAGAGCTAATTTTTATCAAAGTCCATAATAAAGTTCACAAGTTGGATTGGATTCGAATTGTTTTATTTGGCTTCAAAGATCAAAAGAAAGTCCAAAATAATATGATGACATGATTAAGATAATTCAAGCTCTTCAAGTCACAAGTGATTTTAATACGGTCCAGGAGCTAGTTGCGTTGCAATTTGATTCAAGGCCAAAAGAAAATACATTAGATTTTACAAAGAATCTTATTATGAATGGCAACCCCTCACGCCCGTGATAACTAAGTGAAAACCGGTAGGATATGTCATAATATTTATGGTATGCTGGAACCTGAAGAATTCTGTGGAAATAATAATGACAAGTTGGATAAGTAACATTATAAGCCATGTTGTTAAGTTGATAAATTACTAAAATCAAGCTGACATGAATTACAAATTCAGAATTACAACATGTTTTACCCATGTTCAAATTTACAGTATGTTACAAGGATATTGTTTATAAAGCATGCTGTTGTGGATCAGGAAGAGCAATTTAGAGACAGGAATCCTTGAACCCTCTGACTTGCGACATTACACTCAATAAAGCTTCATCTGATAAAGACTTTCGAAATATGGAAGCATACACATGGACTGCTGTTCTTTTTCAAGGGGGAAGATCTAGCCTGTATATATGAAGCACCAAATGAGGGTATAGTTTGTGCTACGACACCAGACTCCGGCACATCTTTCCTGCTAGAGTTCCTCGATCCTGCAGTACATGAGGATTTGCTTAGAAGTTATGCAAAAATGCAGTAATAGCAACTATGAATGACTAACAGTATCAGACGAAAAAGCAATATGACTGTCGCAATAGTGCAGTATATACATAGCATTTGCCACCAACAATTGGAAGAACTAATCAAAATAGACCTAGCAGATAAATTGCAAGTTAAGAGCCAAGTTAAATGGATTTAAGTTCAGCTGCATCACCGTT